TGATGTGATGTCCATTAAGACAGGACACATTAGCACAAATGGAGAATGCAGTGAAGTCTATTTTTCTTAAAGTTTCAATATTTATAATTGTTTATGTTGTTTTTCATCAAATAAATTTCGTTTTTATTCTGAAACATGTTCTTAACCTGTCCAAAAACTGTGCAAAAAGTGTGTGTTTTTTCTTTGCTTTTTACCACATACAAAAATAACCTGGGCTTGAGTACCTCCTTGTGGCCCACAAGTGATACTACAATGCATTTCAAAGTTGTCCTTTAAAATGTATAATTATTGTTACTTATACTACTCGTACAAACTTATTTAACATATCATCTGTTACTTGTGTGCGTCTACACAATCTAGTATAACAAAACAAAAAAAAAAGAGCAGCTGCTTTGCATACTGGTAAAATTAAAATTTCTTTGATTATGATGAGGATTTACACTGCGCCACTAAAGTCATTAGGGATCATGTTGTTTCCCTTGTATGGATGAAGAACAGCAAAAATTTAGTGGGGGGAATTATATTGAAATAACAGGACATAATTCAAGAGCGATACCTGACTTTTAACATGAGTATTTTAAGAACTAATCTTTCTACATTGCATGAACCTGAAAAGTGCGTTCCCATGGAGACTAAAAGTATGTTGTTATTACGGTGAATTGCCTTCAAACACAGCAGTTGCACATCTATCAAAAGTGACTTCAGAAAACATGTTTTACATGCTCTCTGTTCTTATTATATTGACTATTTTGCACGATGTAATCATTTTTTTCCTTGTAGCGTGATGTATAATTTAGGATTTACTAAATATTCAAAGACCTTACAAATAAGTTTATCTGGTGCAGCAACAACAGCTCTGATCGTTAAAGCAACATTATGACTGCTAATGAAAGGCCCAAATTTCCTTCAATTATCATTAAAGTTTACTCTAATTAATTCTAATTACAGACGTTTGCTGCTTTCATGACCTGATTTAAATAGACCCATAATGTTAATTCACAACCTCAGACCATTCTGCGAAGAGAGTCATTTTATATTGTCAGCATGCCATCTGGTGTATGGATGATTAGCCTGGATTGCAACAATCTCCTGCCATCTAATGGCTGTTAGTAGAATTCATTCATATTTAATCACATTTTAAAAGCTGTATGCCAGTTGACGTCTTTTTTGACTTAAGACTGACTTAAGAATTTGCCTGCTGCTATTTCGCATAGGAAGGTCCCAATTATGCCAAGATTTACAAAACCATGAAACTAATACTCAACTTGACACATTAACCATGTATCAACCTAACAGCCTACAAAATGTAAAGGGTATTTTATAAATTCCATGTCAGCTGAATCATATCCAGATAAAGTGACAAAATCTTTTTTTTTTCATCTGACATGTTTTACATTAACCCACCACAAATTAATTCTAGACAGATTGAATGCGTCAAGACGTGAGCATGGGAAACTATGAGTTCCTTATGTGTCTAGCATTGTGATGATAGTGGATCATAAGGATCCTGTATGTTGTTGGGTTAAGCTTTATACCGAAACAGCTCTTACCTGATCAATGCACCGTTTCCACAGAAGGCTCTGGTAAGAAATGCTGTGTCATTGGACAAGTATCATTGTCAAGGTTTATTGGCTCACAGATTAAATTTTCATTACCATACAATGGCAACTGCATCCAAATGTTGGTCTCTATTTTAATAGAACACAATGGTTGCAATAGGTCACGGAGAACATAATAATATACGTTTTAAACAGACATTTTTGGACTTTTTATTTGCCAAATCCACCAATCATTGAAGATTTTTGTCAGATGGTGGCAGCAATGTACCACAAAAGTGGCGTTGCAAATCCCAAAACAATAGGCAATTAGATTGCAGCGGCTCCTAATGCATACATTAAATATATATTACTTGACAGAGAAAAACCACTCTAAGCCAAGGTAGGACATGAAAAATAAGATTAACCGAATTAATCTTATTGACTGAATGGAGGAAGGTGACTTATAAGCAAGTAATACCAACAAATCATCAGAATTTCAGAGAGTTAAATGCAGAAAGACAGTTTTCATGATAAAGTAATAGTTTTAAACAGCAACAATGTGCTATGAGAGTAATACAAACCTAAACTAAACCTTCTGAACAGATACATTTATGTTTCTCATGCATGTCGAAAGGAAATAGATCAGGAAAGCAGTCAGTGTGACAACCTGTGGAGCAGAAATAGACATGCTGAAGCTTGCAGCAGCTCCAACTGCAAATGATTACATCATGATGATCTGTTTGCTGAACCTTAGCCAGACATCCTACTGACACATACACGCACAAGACCTGTTTATTTGAACACTTGGGTGCTCCTGGGTACTGGAACTTGCAACACAACATACAAAGTTATAGTTTTGCATTTACATTGGGACTGAAAAATTAGGAGTGGGTCTACATCAAATTATCTTAGAAGTCAGCAACTATGTTATTGTATTTTAATTAGATAAATTACTGCAGCTGAACAGAGGCCATACCTTAACTGTAAGTGTAATTCTTCACCAAAACTCGAAAAAAAATATATATTAAAAAGAAGAGCCTTTTGTTTGTCACAGGCACTACACAACAGTGGTAATTTATGGGCAGGTTTTTTCTCTTTTGCTGGTCTAAACTCTAAAAATTGGGCACAGTGATTTTCACCTGGGAACATTTTGTAATGAAACTTAATGCTAACTTAGGTTGACAAAACAGAATTAGTGCCTCAATCCACAAGAGTAGCATAGCTGAGAGCAGATAACATCAGTGTCAACAAAAGCTGAGGAAAAACAAAGTCTTTGCTGTCCCAAATCATATTTTGCTGTAAACCTTTCGTTGTCAAGGGCATCGAGGGAAGGCACTTCTTATAAAAAGGCTCTCCAACTCATGTGCATTATAAATGGGAGTAATTGCAAAAAGCCTGTCCATCAACTCTAAAAGTGAACTAACTAACTAAAAGTGAAAAAAACTACAATCTATAATAAAAGACTATGTTGGTACCTATTTTGTAATAAAACAGTGAAGCAAGCAAGGAGGTGGCAGCTTCGGGAAAGAACTGGACAGACTTGCTTTGCCTCTACAACTGGCTTGCTTCCACAACTGTATAAACGCGCACACACACACGCATTAAAACATACAATCAGACAAAGGAGAAAACACCCACGGAGCGTTTTAAATCTATGCATGCATACACCTATTCAAAAACACCACAGCTGATAAAAACTGGTTGACACAGCCCACCACCGGCCGTGTTTTATAATAAGTCTTGGCATCAAAATATAACTATTTAATTCCTAGGCTGTCTCATAATAAAGCTGGTCTTCTGAGCTGCACAATAACTTTGGAAACAAATCGATATAATGCTGTTGACAATTACGAGAGAAAACGTAGCAGTAAAAATATATATTAATGCCATATCCTCAAAATGAGAGCATTTAGTTGACTTAACCAGCAGGGGGAGCAAAAAATCACAGAACTGGAACAATAAGATGGACATTTAGAAAACATCATAGATGAAGTAACGTATGTGTGAGTGTGTGTGTGGTTGTGTTTGTTGCCAGTGACTGACTGGCAATCTGTCCAGGATGTACTCTCACCAAATGTCTGCTGGAATTGGCTCCTCATAATAATAAGTAATAACCGATAAGGTCCATGAATGAATGAATGATTGTATCCGTAACATAGCTCCACAAGCACTCCTCCAGTGGTTTGGTCAAAACAAGGTTTTTCTCTCTTCTTATATTTTCCTGCCAACAACTACAGAGGATGTTGAAGGAGGGAAAATGAAATGCTGAGATGAAAGAGAAAATAGAGAAGGGAGTAAATCTGGGAGCAGGTGCAAAACATCTTCTCTCCCACTCATCCAACTTGATGTGTAACCATGGAACCAACAAGTCATTATCCGGGCCGTAGATGCACATGCGTTTACACTCCTTTTGTTTGACACATAAGTAAAAACCATATGAAATAAAATAGATCAACAGTAAGACTTTGTATTCCACTTTCAAACATGACTATTAGACATAGGATATATGCCACTTCTAAACTGTACCTCAAGAAATCCACTGTTTTTAATCCTATTATGAAATAATGTATCAAATTTGATACATACTCTTTCTAAAATGTTTTTCATCTCAGATCTTTTGCATCATTTAATGGTACATACTTTGCTCAAAACACACAATCAGAGATATAGTTGCCAAAAATGTTTGGATAAAACCCGAAGCAGATACAGTTTAGACACATATCTTATATGGGCAGAATAAATGTAACCATTAGATTAAGGAAAAATATTCAAATAAGAAAAAATGTCTGACTTTATTCTGTCATTAAATAAACTAAAACAAACAAATTAACTTCTATTCGTCGAATGAAACCTGAAATGAAACCTGGTCAATGACTTTCATCTCAGCCATCCTATTATTCAAGGGGAAATGGCAAGGGTCCATTATTCTTAAAAGGGCCAAACCTAAAAAGAAAAACTTATAGCTCGAACGATGTAGGCACATTACAATATCCAAGTATTGACTAAACTGCTCACAGTTTGATTGAAGAGTGTGTGCTTATGTTTTCTGCAAAGCACCGCTGGCAGCAAATTTATTTATATACTGGTAAATGCAGAAACACATATGCAAACTCTCATATCAAAGTAACAGAGGACTTTGCTGTTTGCCTGTCCCGGGTGTCACTGGGTGGTTGACTGACAGGTTGCTGGTCCATAACAGGGCTTTACAGAGACTCAGCAGATAGACAACTATGCATATTCACGGAGGCATTTTAGACTCACCAAGTAACCTAAAATGCATGCTTTGGACTGTGGAAGGAAGTCAGTGTATCTAGTGAGAACCCTCTCATGCATGGGGAGAACATGGGGAAAGCAAACTCATGCTTTGAGGCAACGGCTTGTACCACAACAGCCCCCCACATATGCTTCCACAAATACCAATACAAACCTCTATTTCAGGTGGCTAAGCATGCTTTCACTCACCCTATCTTTGTCATCCACAACATCATATAGCATGTCATCAAGGTCCAAGATGCCTCCATCTCCATGTTCCAGCCTGTGCACCTGAACCCAGTAGCTGGGGTCCTGCAAAAATAGGGAGGATATCATTTGTTATTAAATCTGCTTTATTTTCGCCATATATACTTAGGATTTACAGCATTATGAGAATAAAGCCATAAAACATATTAGCCGAACCAGGCGAAATGAATTAAGGGCTTGTGTCTCCTTAAGAATCAGCTGATCTAATCACCATGTGGTTTATATTATGATCCTGTTGGCTGGCGCAGCTCACAGGAGCTCTGACATGGTTATGGATTGAAAACATGATGGCAGTTATGAAATATTTTAATCTACTGCTCAGCAGTCTGCAAAGCATGGTTTAAACTTTTGTCTATGTTGAAAGGATGAAAATATGATGCAGGGAATGGCAGAGAGGAGCTATGGTACATTTTTTAACCGTTCTCAGTCAGTTAAGCATAATTGTCACATTTAGTTTAACTTCTAATACAATAAGTCAAGTCAATGCAAATAGATATTTATACTTCTATGGTGCAATACATAAGAACACAGCACAGGAGAATACAGTCCAGACAAGACAACACAGATTGCATAAAAAATAAATAAAAATTAAGTGTAAGAATACTTTTTATAGAAGACTATAATTTATATATCTTCAATAACATTGTATTTATACAGTAGCTATCAAATAATTATCTACAAAGTGGCTTATAAAACAACAAAAGTGAGAGAAAAAAATAAAAAGTACATAATTCAATTAAAAAAAGGTTTTTACAAATATTTTAATGTATCAGCTCAGTGACGTACGGCAAAAGGCTTTATACTCAGTATTATAGTTAAAAGTAGATATTTCATTTTTGGATTTTGCCTTGCTTTAGTGTTTTTGTGACATATATATTCATCATGTATGTTGTGCTCCATAAATAAAGTCCGTCTTTTGTTAATCTTTAAAACATGACGATAAAGTCTGCGTATGAACAGGGTTCAGACTTGGTTTTGTCTATACAAAAGCTGTATTATAACCATCCCACAACCATGAGGGGAGCCACAAGAGGGAAATATTACATCTCTACTCTAGCTTTGAGATCTATTCGTTATATCTGCAGAATAGTTTGAAGCTGAGACTACAGTGTTGAGTGGGATAAAAAAGCCTCATACTTAATGTTAAAAGTTGGATGTGACTGTTTCTTTGAAGTTGTGTATGGAAAAAACTTTTTTCCACACTTTAATTTTATCATGTTTTAATAAAACTCTCCAACACTGTATTTTATCAGCTCAAAGTATAAAAGCACTTATGCATTTACTAGTCCAAAAGAGCTCACTCAGGGTAATGGTTGTCTTCTCTAAATCTGTAAATTATGTAGTTAAAGTTTATGTTTAGTTTAGTAGTTAGTCTAATTTTTCTCCCTGTCTGTCTTTTCCTTTCTTCTCAAAACTAATGTCGTTAACGCTGTGATTAAATGGCTTCATACTCAGCTCAGCTGAGCGCACTTTTCACATATTATATCATCAAAAGTGAGAAGACGGTCAGTCCTTTATTTTCAAAAGAAAGGGGGAAAAAGGAAAAACTCAAACGAATAGTTAGTGATGACAACAGTAGCTGTATTTAAATGTCCAACATGGATTCTCTTCGCAGTTTGTTAAATAAAACTTAATGTGATGCTAACTTTCTCGGTTTATCACATGAAAGCTACATGTGGAGGGAAAAAACATAATACAGTACTGCACAGAAAATTATTTTATTTACCAAGATGGGGAGACACACATTCTCAATCTGTAAGTTATTACAAACCACAAATTGATCCTCAACAGTGATCACACAAAAACTGTGTCAGTATTTGAAGTGAACATGGAGTGTTCAAATGCAGACACATTTTTGCAATTCACTAAGCCTTGTTTCTCGAGTGGATTATTGGGAAGAAGCATAAGTCTGAGAAAAGAGCCAAAAAACTTAATCTCAGAAATATACTTGGGATGACAGGACAGCATGTGACTTTGACAAACACTTCTAGAGTTGTTCTAAAAGTTGTTCTAATAAAGCTATTGCCTCCTTCAAGCAAGAAAATACTTCATTGTATAGGCATGTTATTGTCACATTAGCTGCCATTGCTTAGCTGTGTGGAATCTGGATGCTGCATGCTGTGATACACACACACTTAAAAAAGGTTCATTCTTTGTTAGATTATAAAATTGAATGTATACACATTCAAACCTATCATTTTTCATATGATGGTTACGTGAGTCTCACACTATTAAAGGAGACTACTGGTAGCTATTCTGAGGACTATGGACAAATTACTTGTGTGGCTTTTTCAGAGGAAGTACACGCAGTTTTTAATCTCAGACCAGTTTGGAACCATAATCTGATCAGTAGAAATCAGCTTGTCATGCGTGACTGAAATTCACAGTCACAAAGCCTTCTGACATCTTGACTCACTTATTCTCCACATCTGCTAATACATTTTTTCAGCACATGGCTTTCATGCGCTGTCACAAAATTGAAAGTCTGCACAGAGAAGACCAAAGTAAGTAAGATGGGTGAGCAGAGAACTTCATGGCCTGCTGAAAGTTGAAATGCTGTTTGATAAATTAATCACACTACTTATCATTAAGCATCTAAAAAGCACTGCAGCTTGTAACATCAAAAGTTTCTTCCAGGAAAGGAATGAAATTGAAGCGCTAACACTCCATCTTGATGTCACAGTTTTTTAATCTGCATCAAAGCAACACAATCCATCATAAATAATATGTATATTATACATTGTTGTGTGTTACTTATTAAGAATGATTGGGAAAGAGGACCTAAGAGTAGCTATCTATGTCAGACAAATGAATGAAATCTATAATTCAAATGTCATGCATTCTACTGAATGCTAATTACACATAGCAGCAGTGTTCATGGGCAATAAAAGCTGTTTTGCCCAAACCCTCAGCTTGCAATGTCAACATGGATACATTGAGGAGAAAGTTTTTGAATAATTTCACTCCGGAAGGTGTCAAATCTAAAACTGAATGGACAAAAGAGAGAAAAATATGCTGTGTTTGGTAGAGCAGATAAGCAGGGTGTGACAACATGTGCATGTCAGCCATTGAGCTACTGTCCTGGTGACCTGTTCAGCGAGTTATAAGCTTTAATCATGCATTCATGAACTGAATGAGACACGTTGTTATCTGCTTAGGTGATTCAGTGAGAAACGATAACAGGAAACAGAGATGGTTGGTCTGTGTCACATACACAGAGAAACATAAGTTGTTGGACACAATACTGACATAAGCCCCAACAGCAGCTCTCTTTTCTATCTGTCTTTGTAGTAGATTGAATTCCCTGTCCAAGTCAAAGACCACACAGAGACTGGTACCCTGAGGAAGGAGGGTGGTAAAAAAGACAATAAAAGCACATGAGCCTGTGTGTTTTCTTTATCATTGCTACATTAGGTCCACAAGTGTTGCTATTCCCACCAGGGGAATACCCCTGCCTAGATGTGTCTGTCATAAATGGAGAGCAGTATCAACACAATTTGGTATAACAGTAGTGTGTGTGACTTCACATCAGAAAGTAGCCTTATCTAATCTAGTCAGAGTCAAAGTCTTTCAGCACCTTCTTCCTCTGCAGCTAACAATTAAATCAAGCTGTGATAATGTTGTTAAAAAAATGGGGTTTAATATACTTTTAGTGTATATTGATGGGAACAAATATTAAATTACATTTGTGTCTGGTTATGATGAACTAGAGAATGCCAGGTATTGGACTACGATTACAGAAAGAAAAAAAAATGCTAGGTAATGTTTTACAAAGCCAACACACAATGGTGAGGAGTACATAGAGACAATTTGTTTCCAAGATGAAAATTTGGGTCAGAAAATGGTCATGTCCATCCATTCAAGAATACTGTTGTTATCTTAGGAGTACTACACTAAGGGAAGCCCTGCAATGATATTCCTCTGACAAAGTCACCTCTAGGCTTTGTGCATTATTAATGTCCTGCTTACCAAATAACCTGTGGGCTGCAGATCATGACGTGAAGGGACATTTTACACCCAACATATAAAGTATGCTTCCAACTCATAAGAGAAATATCACAACTGATCGCGCAAAGGAGCACATTAAGTCATTGGAAGTTATATACATATGCACAAATACACATAGACACACAACACAAGCAACATATATATATATATATGTATATTTTTGTCATAATCCTGACTAAAAAGAAATCATATACATATATGTAGACAATGAATAAAATAATCCTCACAAAAAAGTTGGACCAGCCTGGTGGCCAATCTTCATTAATTGCACATTGAACCAATAAGAGCAGACTGTGAAAGTCCAATTAGCTGGGTAAGAGCACAGTTTTGCTCAAAATACTGCAATGCACACAACATTATGGGTGACATACAAGAGTTCAAAAGAGGACAAATTGTTGGTGCACATCTTGCTGGCGCATCTGTGACCAAGACAGCAAGTCTTTGTGATGTATCAAGAGCCACGGTATCCAGGGTAATGTTAGCATACCACCAAGAAGGACGAACCACATCAAACAGGATTAACTGTGTATGCAAGAGGAAGCTGTCTGAAAAGGATGTTCGGGTGCTAACCTGTATTGTATCCAAAAAACATAAAACCACGGCTGCCCAAATCACGGCAGAATTAAATGTGCACCTCAACTCTCCTGTTTCCACCAAAACTGTCCGCCGAGAGCTCCACAGGGTCAATGTACACGGCCACTATAGCCAAACCTTTGGTCATTGGTGCCGATGCCAAATGTTGGTTTCAATGGTGCAAGGAACGCAAATCTTGGGATGTGGACAATGTGAAACATGTATTGTTCTCTGATGAGTCCGCCTTTACTGTTTTCCCCACATCCGGGAGAGTTACGGTATGGAGAAGCCCCTAAGTAGCGTACCACCCAGACTGTTGCATGCCCAGAGTGAAGCATGGGGGTGGATCAGTGATGGTTTGGGCTGCCATATCATGGCATTCCCTTGGCCCCATACTTGTGCTAGATGGGCGCGTCACTGCCAAGGACTACCGAACCATTCTGGAGGGCCATGTGCATCCAATGGTTCAAACATTGTATCCTGAAGGAGGTGCCGTGTATAAGGATGACAATGCACCAATACACACAGCAAGAATGGTGAAAGATTGGTTTGATGAACATGAAAGTGAAATTGAACATCTCCCATGGCCTGCACAGTCACCAGATGTAAATATTATTGAGCCACTTTGGGGTGTTTTGGAGGAGCGAGTCAGGAAACATTTTCCTCCACCAGCATCACGTCGTGACCTGGCCACTATCCTGCAAGAAGAATGGCTTAAAATCCCTCTGACCACTGTTCAGGCCTTGTATATGTCATTCTCAAGACGAATTGACGCTGCATTGGCCACAAAAGGAGGCCCTACACCATACTAATAAATTATTGTGGTCGAAAACCAGGTGTTTTCAGTTTCATTGTCCAATCCCTGTATATACATACATACATCTGTAGACATTGTCATTATAAAATCAAAACTAAATCTAAGCATCTGGTGTGCCTAAAAAGCAGGTGTGAGCAAGCACCATCATCTTTAAATGTGTGTCCCCACGGAGACCAAACAGGCTGCCCTTTAGTCCTGTGTCAACTGGGAGGTCAGGTTTGATTAGTAGTTTTGTCGCCATTTGAACAAACATCCTGAGCAATTCCATCAGTATAATTAAAGATATATACAAATAATTATGGGATATCAATTACAGGCAATTCACAATACTGATCTCCAGTGTTCAAAAGTTCAAAATAATCAGTTCACTTGAAAAAATGCATTACCATATGTGCAGTATATGGATCTAATATTCATCACTTCTGAGCATCCTTGGAATGATGAAAAGCAAGGAATGGTTTACAGTTTTTAAAATTCACGTCGTAAACAATCTGTCAGCTTGAGATGATTATCAGAAATACAATTCTAAAAAACAGTAGAATCAGATTCGGGGCTTCATGTTACTGAACTAAGTACATTTTAGTGTCTTTCCCTTTGGGAAATGTTCTATGCAAGCCATCTGTTCACCCACAGACTGACAACAATGAACGGTCTGATTTCCTGTAGATGTAGCTAATTAGCTATCTATTCTAAACTGCTAACAAGCCATATTCTTCTCTATTAAAAGAGGGCATAAAGACAGTAATTCTACACGTATGCATTTAGTTCCAGTTTAGAGGTACCTTAATACATCTCTCTAACTTCCCCATAGCAAATGTTTGGAACACTATTTCAATTCAAAATTAATTATTTAATAATAAAAAGTTATTAATTAATTATTTAATAATAAAAAGGCCAGTGGCATCCTTGCAAGCGAAGGTAACTAAGCATGGCATGAGTGTATATACTTATCATTTTTAAACATTGTTTTTTCATTTTGCATGCAGCGGGATTATACTTGCCAGATGGTACTTCTAAATGTGCCAAGAGAAACATGAGAACTGACAAACCGAAGCAGAGATGTCACAACACACATTTACAGCTCCTTTATCGTGTGCAGATGTGAAGTGTGGCAGTGTCACTAAGGGCTTGTAATATTTGTGTTTGTGTTTGAAGGAGGAGGTGCCCTCTATCGAAGCAAGGAACAAACACCATTATATGCTTCTTACTGGGCTCTGTTGGTATACAAAGTGAACGTCAGTGCTCGTGATGGCAAATGTTGAGCTACAGCTGCAGCAGCAGCAAACAAAACAAATGTCAACTTGTTCTGAAGACACAGGCAACCCAGCCAGCAGGCGGACCAGATTCATAGTGTGTATTTATTTTTCACCGAGCAAGAGAGCGGCTTTACGTCACCTTTTGGAAAGTAAACATGACATACTCTGTATGTTGAGATAGAAAATGGAAATAATCAATCCAATCATAGAAATCATCACTTCGTGTTGTGAAGGGGTTTGAGTATTTAATGAAGAAGGGCTGGACTCTTTTATATTCCAGAGTACACAGTGATTTCTCAGTCATTATACTCCGACATAGGAAGTGCACCTCCCTAAATTAGCTGTAACATTAAGTTTAGGTATGATTTTGGCTTTTTTTGTTTCTTTGTTTTTAAAAAGCATTGATACTGGTTGTTATTGCTCCTAAGAAATGAAAAATAAGAAGACAAATTTTCCCGTCCTTTGTGTAGATGTTAAAGGGTTATTAAGTTTCAAAGACTAGTTCACCAAGCATAGCTACCCATTTTTTTCTGTCTTAATGTAGACATAATAATGTGTTTCTGTATGTATACATATATATATATAGTGGGGGAAATAAGTATTTGACCCCTTGCTGATTTTGCAGGTTTGCCCACTTACAAAGAATGCAACGATCTACTATTTTAATTATACGTACATTCTAACAGTGAAAGACAGAATCCCAAAGAAAATTCCAGAAAATCACATCATTTGAATTTATAAAAATTGATAACCATCTGATGAGTAAAAATAAGCATTCTTTGTAAGTGGGCAAACCTGCAAAATCAGCAAGGGGTCAAA